AAATGCTGGGCACATAACCTTGACAAATGGCGATGCCACTTCAAATGTTGGAGGCAAACTGTGCCGGGGTGAGAGGACAAGTGGCAGGTTTGGTGTAGAAGAGCGAGGCGAGCGAGGCGGCAGTCCTCTGATTAACATGTTTAGCTACGTATGGTGTGAAAGAAGTTCAACACACACACGTACAACGAGCACCGTCTTCAAACAACAGGGGGCCAGAAAACGTGAATGGAGGTGGGGGGGGGGGCGTTTTGGGAAATTAGAAATGAAATGAGACTTCATTCTCAGCGACATTGCACAGAGTGTCGTCACAACACCCGGCAAACTTGAGGCGCGAAGGCAAATCGCGCAGGCTGGTGCGATGAAAGTTACACGTGAACACAGCTCAAGCAAATTACAGAGGGGAAAATAAATAAAATAAATCAAGACTCGAGAGACGGAATCTAGGTCAGGACATAGTCGGAGAGTGGCCGATTCTAACCCCCGGAGAAGCGAAATGATTAAATGGATGTCATCGCTTTAAATAATGAAATAACTCGCTTCATAATGGGCGATGCTCCGAAAGCAAATTGTCATCCGGAAATCCGAAAGGGCGAAGATGTTGTTGCGGTAAGCGACAAAAAGCGATGACATTGCCAAATGAAACATGATTATGCAGAACTACGAAGCATAATTGGGAGGAGAATGAGTGGAAAAGGCACAAGGAAAATGATTCGAAGACGTCACAACAAGCGGTGAGGGGGCGACGAGTGATGGGAGCACGAGCGAGCGGCAAAGAGGAGAAGCGGGCGATGGGTCGCCCTCGTCAGGCGAGATAGAAACGCAGCACAGTGGTAAGAGGCAGAGCCGTAATGCTTGCGCAGGAATGATATGCAGATCTCGATTGAAAAAACCAAAACATTGCTCAGGAAATTAGCCATTTTCTGATGTGGGAGGATGGTCTTGGTGTCGCACTTAAATATGCAATCTTGACCTTCACAGCATGAAAAGCAGGAATAGCTCTCGGACTAGATACTAAACTGAACTGTTTTTATTTTAACAGGTAAGGCCCACCAGGCTATATGGCTCTTTTTCAGAAGCGACCTGGCCGGATATAGTGGGTCAACGAAGTGGTTTATCAAGTGTAAATTTACAGCAGCTAAATGCTCTAAAGTGCATGTTTCTAAATGTGGAGGGGAAAATCAGAGGTCCCAGAGAAAAACCCACTCGGCCACGGGGAAAGAGAACATACAAACTCCAAATATACAGGCGGGATCGAACCTATTACCAGGCGAGGTAGTAAACATCTCGCCACCGCGGTGCCCCAAACACCAAGGTGGCAAACCATGCGGGGGGCTGGGGTGGGTGCAACAACGCATGCTCACTTCCACCAATCGGGTAACTGTTGTCATCATTTTTAATTATCCCGATTGGATATATCTCTGTCATGGTGCGGTGGGCAGAGCAGTACGCCCAGACTGTAACCGCTGTTGTCACAGGAAGCATTGACACAGGTGGGGAACGAGGGGCAGATCCTGTTATCTGCACAATGTACTCTCCGTACTTTCATCCGAGTGAAGAGGCGTGGATAAAACACGGATATGACTTATTATTAGGATGAATTTCATGCTGTCAGAAGAGATGGATGGCTCATCCTTGAATGAATGCAGCAGATACATTATACAATAATAATACCAAACATCACCATTAAAGCGCCTTTGTCAAGTCACTGCTGAATATCTTGCCGGTCATGGAGGTTGTTTGACCATACTGCACCAAGCAGTTCCATGCCAATTAGTGAAAAGTGTGGGGGGATTGTGGTGGGGTGGGGGTAGGGATCGGTTTTGATATCGGCCGTGTCACTGATGTCAGTTACTGCCAGGAATCAAACTCAGGTTGTTGGGTTCAGATCGCAGTATGTGAAGCTATGTGATGCCACTCCCCACGGATCGCAGTCAGAATTGATGCCTGGATAAAAGGGATTTATATCGATGGCTTAAGGGGCACGGATAAGGGAATCAGTGGCTAATATAGGAGGGCACTGAAGCTGCTGCAAACCATAGCTTCTACCAGAATCTCTGGTCGGCAGCTGCTACGCAACGGCCTCGAACCCCAGAGGCCCTCTGTGTAGCCAAGGCAGCTCTTCCCCGTGCGCCATCGTGATGGGAAACTAAGGGCCCCACATCTCACTCGCTGCTTTAACACTAAGCCCTTACAATTTACCCAAAATAGCTCCTGCAATTTGTCAGTCGATTGCATCCATCTCATGCTTCCGTCACGAGCATGGCGGGGGGGGGGGGTGTTAAGAATTGTGAATGGAGCGGCCAAGGAGGAGCGGTGGGGGTAGGGGACTCGAGCCACAGAAAATAGCAGCATCATCATCATCACCACCATCACCGCCGCCGACCGTCGTCACTACTGAATTGGCTCCCAACGTCACGCGGCGAGCGTGAGTCACCCGGTACCGAGGACCAGACGCGGATCATGAATCAGGTCACGGAGGGAATTGGAAATGTGCTCGTGTGCGCGCCGACCTGCGCATTTCGCTCTGGGCTCCCCCTGTCCCACCCCCTCCCTCCGAACGACGCGACGAGGACTCGCAGGCGGACGGACCGCTGTGTGCATCACGCGGCACCTCCCGCGAAATCTGTAGAAGCCTCGGAAATTGGGTCGGGTGGGGGAGAAAAACCCCATTACACTGGGAAATGTGGAAAATAAACGATGCAATTCTCACACGTGCGTCGTCTTTGTTTGAGAAGATAAAGATAGAGGTCTTTGATAGGCTCATGTCAAGCGATAATGTCAATCCCTGTTGATCTCGGGCAGCAGCAGCCGGCTCCACAGTAGATGATTATTTGGCCATGCTGCTGATCCTGCATTGGCAGTGGTGCCACAAGTACAATTAGCAAACAAACTCGACACACTCGTCGTCGGTAACAACACCACTGTGTACGAGCTGAAAAGGAAAAACTCGATGGGTAACGATTTGGGAAATGGCCTTCCTTCATCGCACACATATATCAGTGTTTCACATTGATTGTGGATGTGCCATGAAGAAGGGCCATTGCCCGAAACGTTTCCTATTATTTATTTTCAGGCCACGGTGTAATTGACAAATGTGTTTTGAGTTTTTGAGCTAGAGATTTAGTGAGAGAACCCTTTACAAGTAAAGAGTAGCCTGCTGCTATTAATCAATGTCTGATACTTTACCAGCTAACTGCTAATTGTAATTATTTATTACGGTGACTGTAATTATTACGCGTATTATCTGTGTTGTAAGAACGGTTACGACAGTATTGTTTTACATCATTAGACCTCCTTTGCCAGTACCAAAATATAATAATAGGGTTTTTCCCCTTTTTTCTGGCAACAAAACTGAAACCTTTTTACAAGGATTCATGTCTGCATTAACCACAATACCTGCAGTCAAAATGCAAACAAAAAACATACTATGATAATATATGCATTGTCCTTGAAACTGATTGGTCCACACCAAGGGACGGCTTTCTTTTTACAGCTGTACGCCTTTTGGCGTCATCTGGTCGAGCACCAATTGGGTCGAGGCTCAAAAGAAAGCCGTCCCTTGGTGTGGACCAATCAGTTTCAAGGACAATGCATATATTATCATTGTATTTTTTTGTTTGCATTTTGACTGCAGGTATTGTGGTTAATGCAGACATGAATTCTTGTAAAAAAGGTTTCCGTTTTGTTGCCAGAAAAAAGGGGGAAAACCCTATTATATTATTGTTTTAATTGTGTTTATTGAGCGATGATAGTCGTAATAAACGGGTGACATGAAATTACTGCAGACACAACAATACAGCTCTGGGTACGTCGACATTCACAGCCTTGTTTGAAACAACCACACACACCCAGTGAATGTGCCAATGTTGGGCCAACGTAGGCATGCCATTGGAACCATTGGCCCAATGTTGGACCTACGTTGGCCCGACGTTCCATTATTTACTAGGACGGCGACGTCGAAACCTGTCCCGGTCAACTTGGGATGCTTCCCACCAGGACATTGAATGTTCCGTGGAGCCTCGGGAGTTCCCACTGAACCCCAGTAGTCCTGATTGCGTCAATCGGAGTGACCTTCTACAGCGCCTTTGCCAATCCGTTGCTGGATGAAGGCCTTCCCACGTTATTAATCATTTTTCATCTGCAAGGAGCGTTTTCATCCGTAGATCCCAAGTGTGCCATGTACGGTAAGCAACCAGGCTAAATGGCCAGAGCGAGGAGCCAAGGGACAATTTAAAGAGATGAGCTTTCAAGACAGACTTAAACAGTTCTAACTACTCTGATTTCCTTACTAGTAAACGCAGAGCATTGTTCCATAGTCTGGAAGATGCACAGTGGAAAAAGCCCGATCACCCCAGGAACAGAGCCTTGACCTCAAGAGTACTAAGATGAAGGTGGTCTCAGGGACTTCGTTGGAGAGTAAATATGGACCAGCTCCAGCAAAAATTGTGGAGCTAACCCATTGAGAGCCTTGTAGGTTTATTGATTGTGACGGTTGATTTGACCATACTTCACCTCGCTGGGCAATTCAGGTCGTTGAAAAGACGGTTGCAAGACTGTATGTTGAACTTCTTTCACACCGTATGTAGCCAACCGTGTGTATTGGAGGCACGAAGACCGATTCAGATGTTAATTGCCCTCAAATTTTAGCCAAGGCTGGGCATAAAACGTTGGTGCCAGTAATTCTCAAATTTAGAATTTAAGCTACGACACAAGAAAACACAATGGCCTACTCTTGCTGCAAGCGATGTCAAGTAGCCTTTATTGTCCACTTCCCAGCAACAATCTCACTTTTGTAATGCCCCTCATAGGGCTGTGACGACAATCCATCCGTCAAGACCCCCCCCCCCCCCCCCATACAGCCTGTAACAGACTGTCGGGACGTGTGCTGTTTGCGAGCACCTACTAAGACTGTGTCTGTGTCCCGTGTCTCTGTGTCTGTGTCCCTATCGCTGTGTGAGTGTCTTTGTCTTCATTCCTCTGTCTCTCCTTGTGTTTCTCAGATTGACACGAGGAGAGACGGGAGCCGTGGAGATACAGACACGCGTCTCTGAAGAACGGTGTGTTTACTCGGCAATATTTCCGGGAAAATACAATTACTGAAGGCTTCAGTAATTGCATTTTGCAGCGTATATGTCATAAATGCTGTGCAATTTTTGTTGTATTGCTCTATCATCTGTGTATTAAACCTGCTGCCTTTGGCACTTGTGACAATACACAGGCGATTAAAGAATGCAACAAATCAATAAACATTGCATGTTAGCGAAATAGAATAGCAAATATACAAATTTCAACTGGATTAAACCAGGGGGGTGTTTTTAGCTAACGGTTAACCAGAACCAAACCTTTCAAAAGCAACGTTGAATACGTAGCGGGTTTAAGCGGTGCTTGGTGCACATACAAACCGCAAAAACCAAGCGGTTCACCTCCCTGCCGCCGCTGCCGCTGCTGACACCTGGAGAGGAGTTTGTTTTGGCACGACCGGCGCCACGGTGGTGATCACGACGAGCCCTCGCTCCCAGTGGTGGTGGGGGTGGTTGATGGGTGGGGCGAGGGGCACCGAGACGCCGCGTGTCCGAGCCTCCTGTTATTTGCACGTCGCCCGTGCCTGGTACACGACACCTGAGAGGAGCTGTTCGCTGCTCGGAAACTCTTGACAGGGAAACCTTCTAGGCAACACTGCTAGGCAACACTGCTAGGGAAGGCCGCTAGGGAACGCTGCTAGGGAAGGCCGCTAGGGAAGGCCGCTCAGGAAGGACCGCTAGGGAAGGCCGCTAGGGAAGGCCGCTCGGGAAGGTCGTATGGGAAGGACCGCTAGGGAAGGCCGCTAGGGAACGCCGCTAGGGAAGGACCGCTAGGGAAGGCCGCTAGGGAAGGCCGCTCGGGAAGGCCGTATGGGAAGGACTGCTAGGGAAGGCCGCTTGGGAAGGCCGCTAGGGAACGCCGCTAGGGAAGGACCGCTAGGGAAGGACCGCTAGGGAAGGCCGCTAGGGAAGGCCGCTAGGGAAGACCGCTAGGGAACGCCGCTATGGAAGGCCGCTAGGGAACGCCGCTATGGAAGGCCGCTAGGGAAGGCCATATGGGAAGGACCGCTAGGGAAGGCCGCTAGGGAACGCCGCTAGGGAAATACCGCTAGGGAAGGCCGCTAGGGAAGGCCGCTAGGGAAGACCGCTAGGGATGGCCGCTAGGGAAGGCCGCTAGGGAAGACCGCTCGGGAAGAACCGCTCAGGAAGGACCGCTAGGGAAGGCCCGCTAGGGAAGGCCGCTAGGGAAGGCTTCTCTGAGTTCTTCGGGGCTGGGCGAAGGCGGCGGTGACCTCTCCTCGCTAAGCCCTCATCGCGTGATGCACACGCTCACTTCTGAGGCCACACGTGACAATGACGCTGGTGGTGGTGACGACGATGATGGTAACCTGGGCTGTCCAATGCTCGAAAGCACTGGACAGCACGTGACTGCATTCCTCGTCTGGAAACCAGAGTGGCATTTGACATTCTCGAACTGGGCACGATTTGCCCTCCAAGTTAACCACACGTTAAAAAAGTATTATAATTTCTCAAGTGCGTGGGGGGGGGGTTGATGGCCAGGTGGAGAAATCCCCCCCAAAATACTCTCTCTTGGATATCTCACTGCATTATAAGCTAAAGACTTGACATGAAAGGATGAATTCAATTGTTGGTCTACCAGTATTGTATACAAAGACAAAGATCCCCCATAGAGCCTAAAAAGACTGTTGGGGAAAGTGCTGTTGGCAAGCACCACCAGATACTAATTTGAGGCCGAGTGGACCTAAGGGAGGCGCAGGACCAATTCAGATAATTGTCGCTGGTGTTGGCCGTGAGCGGGAATCGAACTCCAGTCTCACAATGGTACACGCACCCTCAGACCCCTGTGTGTTGATTTCCCTCCCAGTTTATCTCCATACGCGAGACACGAGCGGCCTCAATGGGATCTCGGCCTTACCTAGCCATCATTTGTGCACCCGCGGAGCAACCTACCCACAGTTTCTGAGCACGGGCACCAAAGAGTATTTTGTTTTCCCAATGTGTGCTCTCTGCGTCACGTCACGAGTCCTCTCTGAGCTCGCAGAAGTGTGCCTGCGGAAGCAGGTTGACCACAGAGCTACTTCCGCGATCCTCTCAAGTCGCCCTTTTAATCCACGCACGAGGCGGCACACTCCCCACACACGTGTGCACGCGTAGCAAAATTAATTTGTTTTTCATAGAACCGGCCTCCTGCATGCCAGGGCATCTCAAGGCTCTTCATACGCAACAAGCGACTTGCTTCACGTCTAATTTCCATACATTTGAATGGGCATCCCCCCCCGCCCGCAGTGGCAGTTGTCCCTGTGTGGCACAAGGTGATGGCAGCACCTGGCTTTCAAAACGGCATTTAGTATGCCAGGAGGAGGGGGGGGGCGATAATTGCTGCGAATGTGTAATCCCAATTGCCAATAATTTGCAGATATAATTTTTTCAAATTTGACATGTGGACCGGGACACGAGCACACAATGGCCTGCTCATTTCGAATGACGACATCGCGGGGATCTTTTCACGTCTGCTGTGAAGCGGACAGCACGTAGCGTCTTTACCAGTGTGGCCACTTGGTTGCAACCGTGAACCTCTGCAACAACGAATGGCGAACGCGCTTCTGCTGGGCCACCGTGTCACATCAACTTTATTTGAAACCTGACAGCTGTAAGTTCGTATGTAGGGGAGGCCATAGAGGAGAAGGTTGTCGTGCTCTCTTCAAGCTATATATCTGTTGAACTTCTTTCACACTGTACGTAGCAAAGCATGCTAAGCAGAGGTGTGGTGGAAGGACAACAAACTAAAGACAAAAAGCAGTTCCAAAGAAGTGAGTTTTCAATCTAGATTTAAAAGTACATAGCTCCAGTGGCTTCCTAATATCGGAAGGGAGGAGCGTTCCAGACGGCCGCAGAAGTGCATCTGAACGCACCATGCGATGTGGTGACCGTCTTTGTAAAGTTGTCATGAACGCGTGGACAAAGGTCTGTCATCAGTGCCGAGGGGGGGTGGTGGGCGGACGCCCCGGGCACACCTCCCGCGGTGTCCAAGCGGTAGTGGCTGATGACTCAAATATTTAGTGGGGCATTGGCAGCGGCCAGGGCAGTGGGGGGCAGTGGAGGGGGGGCGGGGGGTAGGGGGGCGGTGAGGATGGCGCCTTTCCTCGGGCAATGTCTCGCCGTGGCTCGATGTCTGACACCGATGCATGGGGCCTCCTGCGCGTGTTGGTGCAGGGCGGCCGACATGCCTAGGTGACGCCTCCCAGGGGGTGGCGATGCTCTTCACCGATGGACGCGAACGCTGACAACGTAACGGTGGGTGGCCCCTGCCGTGGGGAATTACCTGCGGTGTCGCCGGTTTGCGAATTCACATTCACAGGGGGTGCCGCGGTAGCGAGATGTTAACTACCTCGCATGGTATACAGGGGGTCATGGGTTCGATCCCGACACTGTCGCCTGTATATTTGGAGTTTGCACTTTCTTTCCGTGGTCATGTGGATTTTTCTCTGGGGCCTATGCTTTTTACTCTCCACATTTAGAATAAACATGCTTTGTAGAGCATTTGGCTGCAATATATTTCCACGTGATAAGCAACTTTGTTGAGCTATCATTTGTGGCCAGGTCGCTTCTGAGAAAGAGCGACATAGCTCAGTGGGCCTTAGCTGGTAAAATATATATTTTTTTAGTTTTACATCCTGACTTGGTAGTTAATCCGGCCCATTATCTTTCCAGGGGTCGATAAAACGAGTACCACTTTGTGGGGAGGTCAACATTGGTTACCCTATGCATAAGCTCGCCCCCATCATAGGAATTTCCACCACTGGCCTGCAAACGGCGGACACGAGCGCACCAATGCCTCGTTGCTCATGCGAGCAGGAAGTCACTGGCGCTTGCGTCGCATTCCGTCCGTGCGTCCAGGCCCCAAGTGCCGTTGCGCCGACCGTGCCCAACGGTTACGCGCTGCTGCTCGTGCTGCTCTCCGTGTTCGTGGGGGGCGGCCTCGTCATTGTCTCCAGCCTCTTCATCATCTGCCGCCAATGCTGCCGGGGCGGCCGCCGCTACACCAGGTGGGCCTACCGGCGTGCCACGCCACACCGCATCGCGCCGTCCCAGTTGAGCTCTGCCATCGTAGCATGTGCTGATGTGTTCTCGGGTTGTGACCGTGTGCTGCTCGGTGAGATGCCTGACATCCGCGAAACCCCATAAACTTGGCGGTTCTACAAACGCCATCGCCGTGGGTTAAATAGGCGGTGAGATGCCTGACATCCGCGAAACCCCATAAACTTGGCGGTTCTACAAACGCCATCGCCGTGGGTTAAATAGGCGTGGCCGGGAAATGTTTTTAGAGTTGACGAGCCACGGGGACGTTGTGACGACATCGCCACGATGGCGCGATCCCCCCAGTTGTGTTTCGTCACGGCGGGTGAGCGGCTCGGTCTCTACCGCCCTCGTGTTCCGCCCGCATGCGTCTTGTGAGTTAAGTCTCACGAGCCTTGGACGACACAATGCGAACACTGCGAGTGTCGACAGATGATGCAGCAGTACAGATCTGGCGGCTGGTTAAACGCTCCGACTCGCCGCAAGACCCAGTCGTTTTCTTCATACACTTTTTTAGATGCCAAAACATGTAATCATGTGGGTATATTATTACATATTTTTATACGTGCTATGAAGAAGGGCCCGTTGCCCGACCGTCAACTATTTTGTATATTTTTCCCCCCACTTTTTAGGGCCACACAGTGTTATTGACAAATTCGTTTTTTGGGTTTGTCATGAACGCTCTGGTTCGAGTGATCCCCTTGTCGCCCCGGATGAATTCGGCATGATAATCTCCACAGAAATGGGTGCAGTCATTGGCTGCGCCAGGCTTCTGTCCGTGCAGGAAAGCGCAAAATATGAAAATGTGCCCTCGCTGTCACTGGAATGCTCTTCGCTAAGTTCTCCACAATTTATGCTGGTTGGTCAATCTTAGCCTTCGGTGGAATTAATGTTTTGATGAGATTTGAAGCTGACCCACAACTTTAAAGGTGACAAAATGTAACTCTAAGCCCCCAGCATCACAATGTCAAGTGAATCGTTGAATTATATTATCGTTTCTTGTGCAATCGCTATTTTGTTTGCCATCCAGCGGCCAGTTTCTTGCCAAAGCGATCCATTGTTCATTTATCCAGGAAAGCCTCGCTCAATGTCGGCATCTTCACGGTTGAGTTCGGCGTCGAGATATTTACCGATTCCTTTTGTGAGTATTTTTTGCGTATGGACCCTTCTGAAAAGGTTTTTGACGCAGTGCTTTATGGGATAAAATGCATTAACAAAAAGCAAAAGCTAAAACGTAGGTTTTTGCGGGACAATATTTGGACTCCTGGACTGTATTGTGACTTCCTGGATCATGTCCTGAAGATGGTCGGCTCAGTCCCAAGTGAAACGTCTCGAATCTAACTGCTAAATTCGGTTGTCGTGAGAATTGTTAAAGCTTGTACACAACGTGGTGATTTAATTTATTTGGCTGTGGTCAGATCATCGTGGCCTTAACCCAAATCTCGAATGTGATTACGAATCGTAAAAATTGGCCAAGAAAAAAAATTACCGGTCGGCCGTTCGTTATGCACGTGTTGAACAGAAGACGCGGCACACACCGGTGAATGAGGTGCGTTTCCTCTGCTGCCTTGCCCCCCCATCACAGGGCCGACGACGATGCTGAGAAAACCACGACGACGTACGTGGACGAGACGCAGCACCCACGCGGTGAGCACCCTGACAACGCCACCTTTGTCGTCTTCGTCATCAGCATCGCCGTTGTCGTACATCGTCACCGGCTCATCCTGTATGGTGCTAAGCACCCAGTGACGAGTGAAGGGGTGTGCAGAGTCATTACCTGATGATAGGGGAGGGGGGGAGTACCCTGCTGGGGAGGGGGGTGCATGCCACACTTGCCGAGCAGAACGTGACGCGCCACGACAACGCATGATGGGTTTTGTGTACGGTTATTGAGTCTGCAATTAAATGGGATCTGTCCCGTAGTTTACCCAGAGCGCTCTTGCTGAGCACGTGATAATTCAGCAGCATTTGTTTTACAAGCCTGACTTCCGCCGATGAGACTCAGTAGGTGTCAACCGATCTGGAATTTGCTTGCTTAAACTAATTCTGCTTGATGATAATATCGGTCTAGAACAGTGGTTCTTAACCTTGTTGGAGGTACCGAACCCCACCAGTTTCATATGCGCATTCACCGAACCCCTCTTTAGTGAAAAATAAAATGTGATTTTTTTCAAATTCAAGACATAGATATGTTTTTTACTGGTACACAAAATGAGCCGTGCATGAACATTACCTTGTTCAAAGAATAAAACCAACACAATGCATAAACTCACAACAAATTACATACCTGGAAATCAATGTGACTTCTGCTGTTGCCTTTGAGAGATCAGTTCAGATATGCGTGGCTTCACCTTGGCAAGTGCCACTCTCATGTCATTTTCACAGCAAAGTCTGTTCCTTTTCTTCGTTTTTATGTCCAGCATCCTCGAAAAGGATTGCTCACAAAGATATGTTGTAACAAATGGTATAAAAAAATCCAGGGCTTTCTTAGCAATAACTGGATACTTGTTCATTTGTCGACACCAAAACGTTGAGAGCGTTGTTGTTCTGAAGAGTTGCTGTTGAACCTGGCTCTGCTGAATTTCAATGATTTCGTCGAGGAATTCATCATTGACATCTGCTGTTTCAACAGCAAACGTGAACGGCTGTCTCACCCATGCTGGATATGACTCTCTTGTAGGGAAATATCCGTCGAGAGACTTTGCAAGCTCATCTAAGTGCGTGGCAATTGTTTGCTTCAGTTCCGTGGATACAGAAATATCTCCGATTCCAGACACATCCTCGATCTTACTTGCACAGTCGTCCAGAAGCGGGAAGTTTGCGAAGTTATTGTTCTCTGTTCGTCGTTTCCATAACGGTAGCTTTTTTTGAAAAGCCTTCAGGTGTTCTTCCGCTTCCATGATATTGACTCCACCACCCTGCATCTGCTGATTGAGATGATTGAGAGCTACGAATATATCAGCCATGTACGCTAAAATGAGAATGAACTCAGGATTTTTGAAGCAATCTGCATGGCAGTGTTGGTGCTCTTGCAAAAACAGGGCTAATTCCACACGCATGGCAAAAACACGATTCAGCACCTGTCCCCGGGATAACCACCGAATATTAGAATGGAGCAGAAGTACCTCAAATTCAGAGCCCATTTCTTTACACAGCTCACTGAAGATGCGGTGCCTCAGAGCACTTTTTCGCACATAGTTCACACATTCCACCACAGTTTTTAATACTTCTGTCATTTTTGGAGGTAAGGTTTTTGTTGCCAACGCATGCCTGTGCAGAATACAATGCGTCACAATGATGTGTGGTGCATCGGCCTTTACTAGCGCACCAAAACCAGACTTTCTTCCCAGCATGACTGGAGCTCCGTCCGTACAAACTGCAGAAACCATATCCCATGAAAGATTGTTGTCTCTGAAGAAGTCATCCACAAGCTTCTTCACATCGGCTGCCTTCGTTGTTGTTGTAAGAGGCTTACAAAATAAAAACTCTTCTTTTATCATGTCGTCTTTCACATAGCGTACAAAAACAGCAAGCTGGCTTAGATCAGAAACGTCTGTGGTTTCGTCGAGTTGAAGGCTGAATTTTGCCGGGCTTGAAATCAGATCCACGACTACTTGAGCCAAGATGTCTTTACTCATGTCTTCTATTCTGTCACTGACGGTGTCATTTGAAAGGGGAATTTGGGATAATTTACCTTCGGCCGCTGTTCCGAGTATCAGATTCGCCATCTTTAATGCAGCTGGTTTCACAACGGCCGCTGTTCCGAGTATCAGATTCGCCATCTTTAATGCAGCTGGTTTCACAAGTGTTTCACCAATGGTGTGTGGCTTGCCCTGCTTTGCGATCAGGTAAGCAACTTCGTACGATGCTGTCAGGATCGGTTTGTTAACAGGTACAAATCCAAGAGCAGGCAGAGTGGCCCTTTCATCGAATCTGGCTCTCTTCACCCTGAATTCAGCAAGTGTTGTGTTCTTGTATTCCCCGTCTCCATGCAGCTTCAAGAAGTGTTCCTTTAGTTTTGCCGGTGCAAGACTAGAGTTGCTCAACTTGGCGTTGCAAATCATGCAGATAGGACGCTCACTCCCATCACGTTCCGTGATACATGAGAATCCATGTTGTACATATTCGTCCGACCACTTTCTTCTTTTGCCCGACATAGTTAGTATGGATAAAATATTAAAGAAATCACACGACGTACGACAACAACAGTCACACGTTGACTACTGAGTATGCACTAAATTCCCCGCAGCGCTGATTGGCCAAGCAGTGTAGCATGATCATCTGCAGCCAGTGATGGCCAAGCGGGCCGTGTGTGTCATCACAAATTTACACAATAATTCAAGTGTGTCCGGACCTCCGTGGCGGGGGCTCTGCCGAACCCCTGAGATCGACTCACCGAACCCCTGGGGTTCGATCGAACCCAGGTTAAGAACCACTGGTCTAGAACGCCGAATGGCTGATGGACTAAAGCGTATTTATATAAAATGTAGAGATACAGAATGGAGTTGTGCTTAGAGCTGCCTCTCCCCTGACCCCTAACCCCACCCGCTGCCTCTAACCCAGCCTTCTACGAAACGTTAGTCCATACATTACTGTCGGTTCATATGTCACTGTTGGCGCTTGCAGCTGTCGAAATCATCAGAGGTTTTCCGAGAGATAGACGCACCTCTGCCATATAAATATGGAATTTCCACCACTGGCTCAGGGCTGTAAACAGAAGATAAGCACCGATGCCCCACTGCTCATTGAGCAGCAGCAGGAGATCACTTTTGACTTTCTGGCCCACTCGTAGTCATGGTAGCCTGGCCTGGCATTCCGGTAAGCGTTGGGCTAGTGCAGGGGTCGGCAATCCAAAACGACAAGAAGAGACATTTATTTTGAATTGGCTAAAAAATTACCTCTATTCCCAAAGCTGCAATGCAACGTGAATACAAGACGGTGGTCCTTATAAAATAACGGTCACGAAACAGTACTGAAAGAGCCGCATGCGGCTCCAGAGCCGCGGATTTGCTAACCCCTGCCCATGGTGAATGGAACCTCCATGGTGAACTGGACTTCCATGATGAATTAGACTCCCATGGTGAATTAGACTCCCATGGTGAATTAGACTCCCATGGTGAATTAGACTCCCATGGTGAATTGGACTCCCATGGTGCATTGGACTCCCATGGTGAACTGGACTCCCATGGTGAATTGGACTCCCATGGTGAATTGGACTCCCATGGTGAATTGGACTCCCATGGTGGATTAGACTTCCATGGTGAAGTAGACTCCCATGGTGAACTAGACTTCCATGGTCAGGGGTCTGCAAACAAAATAACAAGAAGATCCATTGTTTTTGAATCTCAAGAGCCGCACTGCAGGCCTTAGAGAGCCGCAGGTTGGCGACCTCTGGGCTCGTGGGTGGCAATCTCGGTGCCTCAGCTGTGCTTGTTGACATCGTTTGGTTCTGTGTATTTGCTGAAGTATTGCATTATTAGAATCAGGAACCAGACTACTATTCTCCATCGGCTTCTAATTAGATCCATTATTAATCATGTATATGTGGATTTAAAGAGGAAAAGCTATAATAAACATAAATAATGCAGTCTTTATGCAATATGGAAAGGGGGTACATTATTGATAAATGTGAAATATAAAAAGGCACTGAAACTGGCATACATCCTACCTCTGGGTGGTAGGAGTTGTTTACAACCCACTGCTATCCAGTGTGTCTATGAAAAGCTGACGAGTTTCGTTTTAATTGAGGAGAGATGGCACTGGGCTTTGGATTAACCTTCTCGACCTCCAACAGAAGCGGTATCAATTTTCCCAACCAGACCGGCAGGTATGATGAGTTCAGCCACAAACCGGAAGGTTCCAGGGTTGTGTGCTTGCGACCTTGGCGTCGCAATGCGATGCGTGTAATGAGCGTGACAATCGACTTGTCCCGATTGAATCGATGCATCGTTATTCCTGGGCCGGGGTGAGTTCGATCGAAAACCCAAAAGCAGCGTATGGGTTTCTCCGCGCAGTCCGTCGCGACCGACACCGCTACGCTCCCAGAGCACGGTTTAACCGGCGCGCTGGCAGTGCGCGACTCTAACTGGCGCTGCGCCAGCTCGGCACGCCAGCATGTGGTGCGGCCGCCTCCCGACGTGGCAATCCGCTCGGATTTTGTGACCTCTGTGAGCCCGTCGGAGGGTTTCGTGATTGGCGAGGTGCACAATCGTTGCCCAGTAGGTGCCTAGTACTGCCCCTGGGCTGCCTGGCGCAATCTGCCGTCCGCTTGGAGCCTAATCGACCCCCCCCCCCCCCCCCCCCGATTGTACAAGTCCAAACGCACGCGCTCCCGCGCCAGCTTCGGTAATCAAAACTCGAATTATTATTTATATTATGTTATCAAATTATTCACAAGAGGCGGCTTAGGCGGCCGGGGCGGAGGGGGTGGGGCCACGGGGGGAGGGGGGGAAAGCCCGGCGCCCCCTCCCCCCTGTGCCTCGGCTGAGCCGGGCTCCACGAGAGATTCCGCCACCGAGTCTCCGCACGCTGCAGCTCTCGCTGCCTCGACAAAGAAGAACTTTTGCAATCCCATACCATCCGGGTTTACAATATAATTTTTTTTTTTAAATCATCGTTCTTATAAGGCCGCTCGTCATGTTCGCACTTTTTCAAACCGACTAAAGTTCGAGCAGCAACTCGGTGGTGCGGAGGTCGCGGCTGGGCGCAACGTCTCAACAGGCCGAGCAACGCAGCGGGACGCGCCTCTCGGGGACAGTCGAGAACAGAGACCCGCGTACGTGTGTGCGCGTACGTGTGTGCGCGTACGTGTGTGCGTACGTGTGTGCGCGTACGTGTGTGCGCGTACGTGTGTGTGCGTACGTGTGTGCGCGTACGTGCTACGAACCTAGCGACCCAAGTCCGATTCCCGCCCATGGCCACAAACGCCAGTGACGATTATCCGAACCGGTCCTGGGCCTCCCCTAGGTCGACTCAGCCTCAAATGAGTACCTGGTGCGGTGTGTAAAAATTGCCAACTCTGGAGAAAAAGGCGGCCGGGTGTGGTGCTGACCACCCACCCGCCATAGGTGCTGCTCGCTAACAGCACTTGCCCCAACTGTCTGTTCAGGCTCCGTTACCCCGTGATTGACTCTCTCCGTTACCCCGTGATTGACTCTCTCCGTTACCCCGTGGTTCACTCGCTCCGTTACACCCGTGGTTGACTCGCTTCGTTGCCCTCCCTCGCAGAGATCGCGATCAAGATAACTGGTGTGGACGACGACGATGGCGACGAAGGGGAGGGGGGCCGGTGTGGTGAGGGGGGCGGCTCCGCATGGAGCGGGGGGGCCGACCCAGAAGCGGAGCGCTTCCTGTCGTCGGGCGCCCCCACACGTCGCGTCTCCTTCAACGAGGCGGCGCTCTTCGACAGCGACAAGAAGGCGCAGGAGAAAGGCCGACGGTGGGGGCCACGCGGGGCCGCGCGTGCTTGGGGCGTCGCGACGCGCCGGTTATGTACAGGCACCGCGGTGGCGAGATGTTAACTGCCTTGCCTGATAAGCACGATTGGTTATGTACAGTGCAAACGAAGTTCAACGTACATACATGCTTACACACGTATACAGGAGGTCATGGGTTCGATCCCGACCCTGACGCTGTATGTTTGAAGTTTTCATGTCTCTGTCCCCGTGGTCACGTGAATTTTTCTCCGGGTCCTCCGGTTTTTCCCTCCACATTTAGAATTGACGTGCATTGAGATTGTTTGGCTGCTATAAATGTCCACGTGATAAGCCACTTCGTTAGGCTATCATGTGTGGCCAGGTTGCTTCTGAATAACAGCTATATAGCTCAGTGGGCCTTACCTGGTCAAATAAAGGAATAGCTTAAGCAGTTTTTTTTTTATATAAATGCCCTGGCATGGTTTTTTTTTTTGGATGCGATTCTAAGAGTTTAATTCAAGAAACGTCCACGACTGTCGTATCTTGCGGTTCGCCGTTTATTGCCGTATGTCTGCGACGATTGGCTACGATAAGCTTCACGGGAGTTGTGTTTTTGCTGGCGGCGTTGCCTCCACGCAGGTTCACGCTGACCGAGGGCGACTTCCACCACCTGAAGAACGCGCGCCTCACGCCGTTCGTGCGGCCGCCCTCCATGAAGATAGTCACCATCCCCGAGTGGGACGGCGCCACCGACCCCACGCTGCCGGGGCCCTCGGCCGCCGTGCCGCTCACACCGCGGCCGTCCCAGCGTGACCTCAACCTCCCCCTCCTGCAGGTGAGTAGGAGGGGGGGGTGGTGGGAAGAGGAGCACGGGGGCAGAGAAGACCACGAGACTACTACTACTTCTATAGCTTGCTCTATCCACTGCTGGCCTAGACTACCACTAGTCCACCATGCCTATTGCATGCGCTATCCACTGCTGACCTAGACTCTTGTGCCCCGCCCACTCCGTTCTGACACTTGGGCTACGCCCATTTTAGAGGCTTTACCCCCCTTTTCTCTCCGCCTGATGACGACCACTTGTGTTGCGATCGAAACGTCGTAGTTTTTTGTTTATTTTATTTTTAGTAATTTGAACCTATTCTTTGGGTCTTTTGGTAAAACCACGTAAATAAAGATAACAGATAAAGATAAAATATAATAGAAATACAATATCACGACGTTTCGATCGCAACACAAGCAATCGTCATCACGTGACAAAATATAGCGGGAGAGGTGCTGAGGCAGGATGTTATAAAGGTGTGAGATGGGTGTAGCCCAAGGGTAAATGGGCGGGGCTAGAGATTAAATTTGCATGTAAATGTAAGATCGGAGAGCTGAGCCATGTACCCATCTTTTCGGTTGAAATTGTGTCCGTGTTTGTTTTTATTTTTATTTTCTATCTACGTGGCTTTACCGATAGACCAAAAGAAAATTAATTCCTGCAGTCACGAAAGCTTTAAGTCAAGATTTAAGAGAGAGAGATCAGGGTGTGGATGGCCACTCGCACAATGAAAACACAGTGACGTGAGCATCATCCCTTACACCCTCACCCCTCACCCCCTCCCATCTCCGTCGCCGCATGGCACAGCCCTCGCCATTGCCGTTCCGCGGGGCCGAGTTCTACCTGCCCGGTGACGCCACCACCACCACCACGAGCCAGGGCGGCGGTGTCGGCGGCGGTGCTCACACCGGGGCGGCCTCTGCCGTAGCGCCCCCCCACCACGACGCGCTGCACGTGAGTACCCTCTGGATCGCTCGGCGACGCGAGGCTCTATCCTGGTCTCTTGAGTTGTCACTCTTCCTGGTTGTACAAAATAAACTTGAACTTGCCCTGTGCCTGGAGGCGGGTATCAGCGTGTCGCGGTTCACCGTCTCGACTGCAAGGGACACCTGGTGCCTCGTCGTTTAGCCCGGGACGCCCTGGACCTCGTGGCCTGCGCTGGCGACCTTGGGCGTGGATCTTCTCGACAGCTGACTGAGTTCCATGAGAGCGATGGCTCGGTGCCGTACAGAGGAAGATGCGTAGTGGCTTTGAAATAAAAATTTATTTTCCCTCAATTTTTCCAATGCTATTTTTGTTTTAATTGGGTATCTATAAATGAGTCGCCCTGTGGTTATGCACCAGTATAATTTGTATTTCTTAAATCTACAGTCAAACTGTCTGCTTAAATCAGCATGGGAGCAGCGCTGATCTCTACTGACCATCCCGAACCAGTGGTGGAAATTCCACATTCCCATGGCAAGGGCTAGATCTCCTACAGAGTGATTGTAGGTAATTATTAAGTTTTGGGTTTGATCTATGGCTCCGGCGACTCAGCTGCTCCATCTTGCACATTACGCCACAGGGTCATCATTGTACCTTGAGCAACAACGCAACAGCTACCGCGGGCGGCACGGCTGTCCTCTCGCAGTAACGCGCATCGAGGTTTCTCGAGTTACAGACTCGATTTCACTGGTCAATGTTTCACACGTGTACACACAAACACGGGCCAAAAGCGTACCAATTGCCCGTTACTCATCACCGCCATCACCATCGTCATGAAGGAAACTGAACACAGGCGCTACTGTGGGCGCTACAAAAATAATATCTGAACCCAACAAAACAATGACGATTACTGCTGCCGACCTTACAGGCGGCTTACGAGGGCTCTGGCTGTCCTTACTGAAGCCATGAGGGCCTTGGCGGATGCCGCTCGGACCATACGAGTCTCCGGGTGGAGTCGGGAGCGGTGCTCCGTGCCAGGCAGGGGAACGCGCGGTCGTGCCGATGCCTCGGCTGCGCCGGGTGCAGCCAGAGGGGGGAAACTTCTCTCGCGAGCCCCGATAGCCCTTTGAAATTCACTGTCGACAATGGTTCATGTAAAGTAACACAATCACGTTTTATTTCAAATTTTTCCACAATTTGATAGCACGCATCGCTGATAAAATAGCACTGAGGTAATTGCCTGTGAGTGATCATCATCGTGATGCCGACTCGGAGACGGATAGAAAGAGAGATCCGGTGGGGGGGGGGATGGGGGTGGGAGCAATGGTCCTGGAGTTTGGACCTCCATGTGGCTGCTCCCGGTGAGTGCCGAGCAGACGGCGGCGCCGACGTGCACTGCGGCACTGCGCACGTTGCCGAGCCCACGGTTGTGACTTTCCATGCGCCAACGGCCTCGCTGTCGGCGATCAAAGGGGATGGTAACGGTCGATTAAACCGTTGTCGCGATCACGTTAGCGTGAAGGGGAAAAAGCGAGTACGCGGGCTCACCTTCAGACGGTTACGAGTTTATATTTGACTCTGCATGTCATCCCTCCGCGAGGGTTGATAAAACGATTACCATCTTTGTGTGATGTTAAAGCGGACATGGGAATATAGAATTTGGTCCGCTGCTGAGATAAACAAATTGAGGACGGATTATCGGAAGTTGGCAGCAGACTTATTCTTCTCTGGCGCGATGTCCGACGTTTCACGACATGCGGGGGGCATGACCCGAGGACGTGCGGGGCTGTAAGGCAACACCGCTGCCACCAGACAAATCGCCAGACAACATTCGAAGCGACGAGCGAGCGTCGCACTCGTCGCAGCCCAAATGAGTGCGGGACTTAACGCCGGGGTCGGTGACCTCCGTCGTGACATTTTATCTCCGCCCCCCATCCCCCCGCCACCCCCGACTCCCAAGGCCTCCCCGCTGAGCGCGGACGAGACGGCGGACGCCGAGCAGAGTGCGGAGAGCAAGTGCGGCGGGTTGGTGCACCACTTTCTGGCGCGGCTGCGGCGCCACGCTAGCGTGGAGGCCGGCAGCCCCCGCTTCAACATCCGCAAGTGGCGCCTGGACAAGAGCCGGCGCGCCTCGAGCCTTGACACGCGCGGTGAGTGGGGAGTTGGGGTGGGGGGGTCGCCAACCCCCTCTGTGCCACGAACGATCGTGACGCGGGGGAGAAAGGAAAGGGGGGGGGGGGAGTGTCCCGCGTCGACGCCGGAAGAGGGGGAGAGCAGCGTCCGACCGCGTCGCCCTTTGAGGGTTTATCCTGGAAAAAACCTGGGCAGGTGGAAAACTCCAGTGGTGTGCTAGGGGGAGCCACGCCAAACAATTAGTGTGCGCGTCGCTTGTCCCATCAATCCCTCCGCTCATTAAACGAGTGTCGAGGCAGCTGGGCTTCCTCTCAAGGCGCTCCGGAGAGCCCCTCGCGTAAGGAGAGAAATTCGTTTTTTTTATCTTAAACGTTCATGGTGAAAAAACACAGTGATACGCTGGGTGGGGGGGGGGGTGGGTGAGTGGGGGGTAGGGCGCTTGGGCGCCAAAGCCGAGCGACGACAACGACGCTGCCGCGCCTCTTCCGCAGGTTCCCCGCGGCGGCGTCAGTTCCAGCGGCAGCGTGCGGCGAGCGAGAGCACGGAGCGCTCGGCGCACGACCCGCACCATACCGACGTCATCCACTACATCGCACACGCCGAGCGCCTCGCCTTCCTGCAGCCCCCGGCGCCGCAGGCCGAGGCGGCCGGCGGCGCCGGCGGCGGCGCCGGCGCCGTCGCCGGCGGCGGCACCGGGGGGGCGGCCGACGCCAAATTTGCGACCGTGGCCGCCGCGGCCGAGAACGCGGTGACGATCGTCGCCGTCGTGGCCGCCGCCCCCCCCTCGTCCTCTTCACCGGGGCCCCCCCACCCAGCTCCGGAGGCGGCGTCCGAGTGTGAGCGCGCGAGCAGGTAACGCCATCACTCGCCGGCTGGGGAGTGAGTGAGTGAGTGAGGGAGTGAGGGTGGCGTGGTCTGTGCGGTATGAGGATGGTGTGAGTTTGGAGTGTGCGGTGTGAGCAGATTGAGTGTACAGTCGCTTATCTGGCAAGCAAGTGTGTGTTGTGTGTTGTATGTGTTGTGTATGTTAGGCGTGGTGTTGTGTTACTATGGCCCAGATTTAAACAGTCCTGAAAAGTGATACAAACTCATTTGTGTCCCATCAGCCCCGTGAGCGCATTTGTATCTATGTATGTTTAACTTCTTTCGCACCTTGTGTAGCCAACTGTGCTAATCGGAGGTGTAAATGTACGCTTCAAACCAGCTGTCTCCCATGATGCAACTCTGCAGTTTCGTGTTGATTTCTTTCTTCAACATAAATCGGTGTGGCGTGTTTTTTTGCGATCATGTAAATATTTGTTTGTTTGCCACAACCGTGTGAGTCCCTGGCTCCTGCCACGGTTGAGTGCTATTCACTGGCTGAAGGAAGCCAGTCGAATATCCACCATCATCGTCATCATCACGACGGGGCACGTGACGATCGGGCCCCCTCGTTGATCGATGGACCGTTGTGATTCGGCGTCGCCATTCGATTCAAGGGCCGATTCCTTTTCGACGTCGCTGCGAACCCCCGCCGCCTCTCGTGGCCGCGGCACTTGCACGAGCGAGCCGCATCCGATGCGCGCGAACCGACCGTGACGCGCGTGGCGCGCTCGCAGGCGCCAGACGCGCGCTCGACGGTAATGCGTGCACAGCGGCCGGCTTGGCAACGGTGGCTGCCGGGCTTGTCCGCTTCCCTTGTAGATCAGATGGTGACGTGGGGGCCGCGGGCTCCGACGCGACGTCCGCGCCGCGCGACCTCTGGAGCCTGCGCGCGTCCTTCGAGCTCTACGCCTCGTCGGAGCGCAGCAGCAGCAACGACCGCGACTCGGTGCGCAGCGACGGCGAGAGCGTGGGCTCGGCCGGCGCGCCCGGCGCCGGCCGCCTCTCCCAGGACTTCTCCCAGGACGAGGGCCCCGGCTGCCCCGCGAGCGCCGCCGGCGACGGCAAGAAGGAGCCGCGGCAGGAGAGCACCGAGTCGGAGCGCAGCTGTGGCACGGACGGCGAAGCCGGCGCCAGGAAACTGCTGCAGATGGACAGCGGCTACGCCTCCATCGAGGCACCGCTGCGCTGCCTCCACGAGGAGAACGGGCGCAAGCAGCAGCAGCAGCGCACTGCCTCGGAACGCCGCTGGCACTTCAGCTCGGGCCGCACTGACACGGTGTTTGAGAGCCTGGACGGGGAGGCGCCGGAGGCCGGGGCGGTGGCGGGAGGAGGAGGAGGAGGAGACGCTGGCGGCGCGAGCCGCCCCCCGGAGCGATCGGCGCAGGCGGCGGGCGGCCCGCGCGGCTTTCTGCGGCGCCGCGATTACAGCATCGACGAGCGCTCGGACGCGCTCTTCCGTGAGTTCCTGCGCCACGACCCGCGGTACGACGAGGCTCCCTTTGGCAAAGCCAAGCACCGCTCGCGTGCACACCTGCGCAAGCAGTGGCAGCGCTCCAAGCAGTACAGCGACCCCGGCGTGCGGCACGGCATGAACTTCTCGGCGAGCTTCGAGCGGCACCGCGCGCCGCTGCGGCGCGGCAACAGCGTCAACTACCCGTCGGACGGCCGTTACTACGCCACGCTGCCGCGCATCGTCAGCGCCGGCGACGAGGAGGCCACCGACGCTGTGGCCGCTGCGGCCGCCGCGGCCGCCGCGGCGGCGGCGGTTTCGGCGGCCGTCGAAGCGAAGCGCTCCTCGCCCGTAGAGGAGCCCGGCCGGGGGTGCGCTGCCCGCGACCGCTGCGACACCGGGGAGCCCGCTGACGCGGAGCCGGGCGACGTGAGCGCGGGAGACTGCGGGAGCCCTCCCCCCGGAGGCGACGGCGGCGACGGCAAGGATGGCGTGGGCCACGGCTACGGGCCGCAGATGATATCGGTGTGCGGTGTCGGGGGAGACAAAGTGGCGCCTCGGCTTGAGGAGCGGCTCTACCTGGCGCTGAGACAGTCCAAGGAGAGCCTGGTGCAGGCCATCACAGCCACGGATGCCCCCCCCGATCACAGTCCCGTGTGACCTGCCCCCTTCCCCCCACCGCCCCTTCCCCCCCCCCCCCCACTGGACAGAACGATGGGTGCATACTATATGATTATGATCATCATTATATTCGTAATTATACGTACACGCTCGATAACTGAAGTGATTGCCGGTCTGCTTTGCTGGCTGCGCGCCCTCTGACGGGAGACCGGGGGCCAGGTTGACGCCGTCTGGCTTCAGCCGCCGCACAGCGGTGGAGACGCCGTCGCGGCTCCACCGGCGTTGAGCCAGCGGGGCCCTGGGGCTGGCACACGAATCCGGGGGTGCCCCGCGCGTCACCGTTTGGTTCTCCGTTCACGGCTTCACGTTTTTCGTAACATTTGATTGGTTTGCGTCTTAATTACATATGCCATTGATTTGTAATGAATTTTGTTTATATTTATGACATTTTAATTTATTTTAGCTATTTATTGAAAGAGTTGTGCCAATAAAAGAGTAGCAGGTTAATATTCTAAAGCATTTTGTTTCACTGTGGAGCGTATAAATGTTCCTGTACTTCCAGAGAAGGCCCAGCGAGGGATGGGACTAGGCAGATCACAAAGCTCGATACGACACCGAAACAAGCTCCAATAATATTTTCAGGCGATGCTGCGTCTCGTTTACAAATTCACGAGTTGCCCATCTTAACTTACATTCCGTTTCACTTTCTTTCCCGAACGTGCCAAAGTTTACACATCAAACGTGGTCACTAATCTGATCCGCCTACAAATGTGCATTTTAATGGCCACTAAGTCTAATCTTACACAGAAGCTGTTTTACTTTTTTTCCATTTTTTTCCCCACCAATCACTACTCAAAGTTCACCGTTCGAATACTTCCGCACCTCTGGGACCAATTACAGAGGGGGGGTGGGAGGGGGACAAACGTCGCGGGACCCGGCTACGATTTTGCATTTGTCTCTCGTTTTCCGTCGTTTGTGTAATCCCTGTCTAGTTTCCATCCCACGGTGTTGCGATCGGTCTCCCTCCCCTCGTGCACTATAACCCCCGGCAGCTTCTCAAAACGTGTACGACGAGCACGCCCGCAAACGTACAGCCATTCCAATCATCACTCCGGCTTTACATTCCCCTCCTACTCCTCCCATCGTCTGAGGCCCACCCACCTCCACCAACACCCTCTTCTCTCTTCCAAGATAAAGTTGCGTGCTGATGAAAAGGGGGGTGGTGCCCGTGTCGTGGCGGTTAACGTGAAGGGTAACTCTGTTACAAAAGCGGAGGACCCCACAGACACTCCCAAAACCTCGATTTCGCGTGACCACTTGTGGCTGGATGTTCTTAGGGGAGCGGTGGCTACAAACCTGGTGACCCGAGTTCGAATTCCTGCTCACGACCAACACCAGTGACGATTATCTGAATCGGTCCTGAGCCTCCCCTGGGTCGACTTGGCCTCAAATGAGTACCTGGTGCAGTGTGTAAACATCGCCGCTGGGGAGACAAAGGTGGCCCCCCCAACCCCTCGTGTGCCGTGCCGGCCTTCATAGGTGCTCGCTAACAGCACTTGCCCCATAAGTCTGCTTTGCCAGACACGGCGCCGGCCACCACTGCTCTTTCTAACGCACTTATGGACACACAGTCTTCGCGAATCACAATCCAAGTTTTGATGAAAGCAGAAAATCCCACAATGGTCAAAATGCATGAGAATGCGTTCAATGGAAGGAATAGTTTTCACTGTTATGAAGATCACGGCTCTGTCTGGCCCGTGGTTTCCGCGAGTTATCCACCACGGTGTCCAGGCGCTTCGCTCCGCGTGCTGGCAGCTTCGGTTTAGTTCCTGAAGCTCCCAGCACATGCGGCGAAACGTTGGACATCGTGCCGAACGACGAGCAGAAAGCACATGGGAGAGCTATTGCAGCTTGAGCGGGACGAGGCTGCAGGGTAGCGATCACAGCTCGTGCAGCCAGCTGGTGCAAGCGTCACAGCTGGTGCAGGCGTCACAGCTGGTGCTGCAGTGCTGGTCCTCAGGCACTCGGTTCGTAGAAATCAAAATCGACTTTTACCCTCCACATGCATGCATCGATCATTTAAGATGTATGCATATTATATCGCTTAACGTTAAAGTCAGGCTAATGGATCTAAAGACAGAAATGTTTTTCAACAAACAAGATGTTCAAACAAGACCGATCAGAATTCAATGAAATAGCAAAATGCGAAGCGTTTACGCTTCCCGGAATCGAGGGAACGACATTGTAATGCTTAATCTGCCGATAGCTCCACCTGTACAGAGGGTGTCTAAAAAACACGCAATCCATCTGCACCGGCCATTTGAGAATGCAACGAAACCCATATATTTGGCACTGTCAAATTTAAATAACCTGATTATCGTACCCAATTGCTTTTATAATTGCTGCATTTTCAAATGAATGTCTGCATGGTTGATTTGAACTGGCACTGTGCGTATGATTACCGTGGGCTTTTGGCCATGATCTGTAAACGCCGACATGATTCCAGTCACAATAACAATCTTAAGCTGCCGAACCAATCATCTCCCCGTTTTGTTTTCGGAGTCATTTTCTTACGAACTAAAATGCAAACAGTGTGTAGGAAGTAATCAACAAGTGCACACTAAGACACAGTAATCCGATGGCACACTTGGAAAATGTAATAATACAGGATTACCGTGACCAGCCCTCGCTAATCTTGTTACAGATTTCCAAAGCGCTCATGCAGATTACCAAAGTGCTCAAGGATTGGGGGTGGGGGGGGGTGACCGACAGAGGAATTGGAATTATCTCCACGAATCCGGTGACCAAAGGGGTAGGGCCGAAAGCCAAATGGCGGGAGACGGTCAGCGCAGACTTTGGCACCAGCAACGTTGGCCGTGATGATGACGTCTTGACCTCGGAGGAGCCCCTTCGTGGGCCACGCGTCGCAGCTCGATCACGATCACACGGTGATGGCGATGGGGGGGGGGGAGGCTTTGGAGTCCCGGAGAGCCACGGGGAAACGCGCCATGTGGAGTAACGCAGGATTCTCGCTCGGGAAATTGCCGCAGACCGGACCGGTTAAATCCTTGAATTTTTCATAGGGGAGTTATCAAATATCTGTGCTTGTCAAGTTCGTGTTTTTGGCCCTGTGACATCGTGCACCAAGTGCAGACCGTTCTGTGCTGATGCCATAGCCCAATTCTCTGCAACGAATCGGTCTTTCAAAAGTAGTCCCCAAATCAATTCAAATATTTACAGTAGGTCTTCCATGCGAAAGAGTTTGAGCCTCCAGTGAGCTCTCACGCAGTCCTCTGTAAGTGGTACACGGGGAGTCCTCTAAGAACCACATGAGAATTGACTTGAAGTGAACCCTTGGCACTTCTCAACAAAGCCGAGTATGTGTCTCTCTCTCAAGGCGGTGGTCTCAAGCGAAATGTGAAGAGGTTTGAGAACTGGGGGTGGGGTGGGGCGGGGGGGGTCTCCTTGAGCCGAGTTTATGAAACCTGCAGCCTCACGTCCACTCGTCTGACGGAGCGGTTCTGTGCTGGAGCGGCGGTCAGAGGAGGAGGTCTGGGTTATGGTGGCCCTCAGTGACTTGGGGTGGAGCCGAAGGGCCCTTGCGTGGGGCTCGCACAAACCCAAGTTTCTGACTTTTAAGGCATGAAGTCTATGTTTACACTTGGTAGATGTCGATGATGTATATGGGCTATGGCTTGATTCCAATACAATATGTATATATTTATTCCTATAACTTATTCAAATTGTACTCTTGCGGTGATGCGCTAATTTTAACGTAGCATCGTTGCGATCATCGATTTCGTTCAAAACTCGCAAACGCGTCGCGAGCGACGAGAAAGCGTTGAGACCCCTCTCCTCGGTCCGTATTTTGAGTGTGTGAGGTGTGGATTTTTCGGTGCACGCCTATGTTGGTGTGCCAGGAGAGACTCTCGATTTGTTAAGGCCCCAACCCCTCCCCCCCCCCCCCCATGATCCACTGGGTGACACGGTAGCTGGCAACGCAACAAGAGCAACTTGGCTGCCAACAGAATGGAGTGAAGCTGTTTTCTGTTTTCCACTTCGCCTTTAAAAAAAAGTTTTATTGAACCCGCAACCGCAAACGTCATATGACAGAGGGCGAACAAACACACGATTGCACAGAACACATCCAAATATCCAGCAGGCGTCGGGGTCAGGATCGAACCCATGAGCTCTTGCATACCAGGCGAAGTAGTTAACGTCTCCTCGCTACCGTGATGATAATGAGAGACGCAGATTCCAAATATCCAGCAGGGGTCAGAGGTCGAGATCGAACCCACGAGCTGCTGTATACCAAGCGAAGTAGTTAACATCTCCTCGCTACCGTGATGATAATGAGAGACGCAGATTCCATATATCCAGCAGGGGTCAGAGGTCAAGATCGAACCCACGAGCTGCTGCATACCAAGCGAAGTAGTTAACATCTCCTCGCTACCGTGATGATAATGAGAGACGCAGATTCCATATATCCAGCAGGGGTCAGAGGTCAAGATCGAACCCACGAGCTGCTGCATACCAAGCGAAGTAGTTAACATCTCCTCGCCCCCGTGGCGCCGCAACAGCTCTCGTGCGCGCAATGTGAAACTGGGGAAAGTGGCAGCGCATCACTCCTGACGCCGCAGCCGTCACGTGACGCCAATCGCCCAATGGGCACGGGTACTAAATAATTAAGTAACTCCCCCGTGTGCCGCCTCTTTATACTAAATGCGGTAATACCCCGGTTTACGTTGGGGATGCGTTCCCCAAAGGTACCGACGGCGAGTATCGAAGCGATTGACGGGATAGGGGTGGTGGTGGGTGGAGGTGAAGGCTGAGAGGGGCGACGGATAAGGAGAAAGGACGATGCTGCCGGCGAAGTGAGTGTGGGCTTGAAGCCAGTGTGGGCTTGAAGCCACGCCAAATCAGGCAGCAGCAGCGGTGTGAATAATATAAAGTGGCGACGTCATTTGCGAAACAACGTAAAACGGGGGGGGGGGGGGGGGGGGGGAGACGTAAATCGGGGTATGACTGCCCAGATACAAGTGCTGCAAAAGCTACGGATTGTGGCTGATGATGGTGGCGGCTTGACTGCAGCTTCAATTACATTCCATAATCGCACAACTGCATTAATTGTAATTAATTCAATTGTGCAACATTTATGGCAATTCTACTCGGATTGTAAATGTTGTGGCTTGGCTCTCCAACACACCCGGTGTGCTGTACTAGTAAAGAATTGGCACGTTCTGTTTACGTGACAACCCTTACTAGTTGGCTGTGTCGGGTGGTGGCAGGTTTAACGACACATTTATATTTATGCGATCTAACCCCAAAAACTATTTTATGGTTTATGGCAATATTAACACTTTACACGTAACGCAACATGACTTTCAGTTAACGCGGCAACATCTGAATAGACTTGTGCTCGTTTCCACTGTAGTAGCAACAACCCGCTGTGCACTCTGCAGCAATTGGCATTCATCATTATTAAGGAACTTTCCAACTTTTATGAAAGAG